TGTTTATAAGTTATATTATAAGTTCTTTGTTTATATAAGTTATTTATAAGTTTTTATATTTATTTAGTTAAAAGTTTTTATTTTTATTTAGTGACAACGTGTTTGCATACTAAATTGGTTTTAAAAAGTACAAACTTTCTCCGTGGGATCGACCCTTACTTGCCCTAGCTATAGTTTTTGTTTGATTATATTTTGGGAGTTAGCTAAGGATATTTTATAAATTTTTAATTTGTTTTGGACCACACGACAAGTCCCCAACAAATTTTGGCGCCGTTGCCGGGGAAAGTTTAATTTGTATAAAATCAGTTTAGGATGTGCTTTTTGTGTTTGTTTGAGAATGCAGGTTGTAAAAGCAAGCCTCAAATTTTTTGTGCGAAGTTATTTCACATGTTAAAGTCATAGCATTGAAGTTATGTGTGGTTTGTATGCTAGAACAAATTGAAATCAGTATCTGTGCTTGAATTCATTGCTGAAATCTGTGTTCCATATGTTTTTTTTGTGAGATTTTTGGCCAATTTTTCATGAAAATTGCATTTTGAGACCTTTTCTGCATTCTTTATCTTCTGATTTCTGGTGCTAGTGATCATATATGTTTCTTTTCGTTAACACAAGTGTTGCTCTGGCCTTTGGTTATTAATTCGATGGATGCAACGTGTGTGAACTGATTTTATTTCAATGATACATGCTGGTTTTTTTTTAAAAAAATCGTTCCTTAAATATGCATTTGGATTGAAGTAAGCATATATGTTTCAGCTGATTTTGATTGCATTAGGTGCTGCAAAACTCTTTTATGATGTTTTTTTAAGAGAAAAAATCTGCACTTTTTGGGTGATTTGCAAGTTGAGTTGATGTTGGTTAAAGTGCTCAATTTCTTAAAACTTGTTTAGGAACTGAATTTAAAGCTATAACATGATGTCAAAAGTCTTATTCTTGAGTATTTGATGCTACATTTGCTTAAAAATCTGATTTATACATGCTGATTTTTTTGAAGAAAGTGCACTTTTGACTTTGTTTTCATGCTGTTTTTGTCCTTAGAGTGCTTCTTTGCTTCAATTATGAACTATATATGATATATCTTGCTTGGGGACAATATCTAGAAGCATGACTTGATGTTTATATGTTGATTTTTTAGATTTAGAAGTTGAATTTGCTGAAATTTAGACCTACACTGCTGTTTTGTTGAAAAATCTGCAACATTTTTGCTGGATTCTTATGCTGAATTTGAGTTCCTAAGATGCTTTTTATGCCTGACTTATGAACTTTCATTGCTAAATTTGCATAGGAACTAATTTTAGACGCTTATCACTTATTCATTCAATATTATTTTGACCCTTATATGCTGATTCTTTATGCGAAAGTGCAAAAAAATGCAGAGAAATCTCATTTTGAATCTGATTCATAGGTCTAAATTTGCTACTTGAATCTCATTTTTGCTTCTCAATTGAGAATTTAGTTATCACTTTTGTTGAGAGAGTAAAAATCAAGATTGAATTGTATATAATGTTATTTTTTTTTTTTGGAGTGTTTTAAAGAAACACACTTATTTTACTACTTTGTGCCTTAATTGAATATGTTTTTGCAAGTAGTAAGCTTTGTCTAGCCAAGGACATTAAATCGGGCAGCTTATGGGATGCAACCCACCTACTATTTCCGTTCTTAATTTAGTTTTTTTCTATTGTTTTCTTGCTTATCTTTTGCTTTAATAAACAAAACAAAAAAAATGAGAAGAACAGAAAATCAGAAAAAAATCAGAAAAATGAAAAAACTTCATCATCAGGAGTACTCAGAATACTGCTGCATTTACTGGATTTAATGGTCTATTTTTGCTTCATGTATGCTTCTAACTATTTATTTGAGTGTATATTCAAGATCTATTAAGTCAGGTAGAAGCATGCCCTTTGGAGTAAAAATCTGCACAAACAGTTTTCACAATGAGAATCTGCACTATAAGTCATAATTTTGCTTGCAAAAGTGAATAACCTACAAACTCAAATCTGATTCTTGAGCTTCAATGGTAAAAATCTGCATCATTAATGTGCAAAATTCTGATCCAAAACAGCAATTTCAAGCACATACTAGTTGCTTTATTGTGAGTTTTCAGTTCTTTAAGGGTTGGGTGCTATTATATGGACATATTTAAGCTGAAAGTTGAGATATATGCATTGTTTACAGCTGATTTTTGGATACTAAGGAAAAATTCTGCACTTTGAAAAGTTATTTCTGGACTTATAAGCTGATTTTTTGAGTGCAAAATGAAAATTTTACACTTTTTATAGCTTATAGGTGCTGAAATAGAAAAAATCTCCAATCTTTTCTTGGTGTTCAATCTGATTTTTGAGTTCATCAGATGCATATGTGCTGAATTATGATGTTTAATAGATGCATATGAGCTGCTTTGCACGTGCATGACATAAATAACCTTCTCATATGCAGCATTTTGTTTTGAAAAGTGCAAAAAGGCACAAGAATTGGTTTCCAGAACCAAATTTGAAGCTTAAAATCTATATATTTGAAATCTAAATTTTTGTTCTTCAATGCTAAAATACTTGGTCTTAGCCTTCACTTTGCAGATTTTTAGGTCCGTCGAGCACAATCAGATGAGAGTGATGAAATTATGCTGCGTATACTTTTTTTTTTGTTGAATTCCCTAATCCCCTTCTCTCTTGGCTCATTCTCCTGGCTATATTATTGTTGTTTATTTGCATATCATATAGATGCATTGAGGACTATGCACATTTTAAGTGTGGGGGGGAGTTTCTCACGATTATCTTATTATTTGGGAAATCATATTTTGGGGCAAAAAAATTTTTTTCTTCAAAAAATAGGTTTTGGGTCCAAATATTTTCATTCTTAGTTGCAAATCTTCTTATTTAGAGCATTGTTTTCAAACTTGACCCAAAAACCTCATTGTTTTTCTTGGGGCTTTATTCTGAAAGATAGCAAGTGTATACCTTTTAAACCCGCATTGAGTCTTATGCTCTTTCTTGATAAAAATGGCCCTTAAAATGTTTGAAATCCTTCTAGGAATCCCATAGAATTTTGTTTTCTAGAACTGGCCATCCACATATTATCTAGATGCTGCCTAATCAACCATTGCGTGATATTAAAATCTGAAGAAAAAAAACAGAGAGAAACTAGTTTTAGGAGCCTTTTATTTTTAGAAAATTGAGTGATTTTTATATTTTTAGGCTTATTGATGAACCTTGCTACCGCTGCTATTGAGCCATTCTAAACCATAAGATTCCACTAGGAAACTTTTTTGTAGCAGCTTTAGAGCATTTGTTAGAACCCAAAAAAATCCACATCATAGTTCTCCATCCTTGTAGGATTTCTAGCTCACTTTATTTTTTAAATGCTATGGGCATAAAGTCTTAAGTGTGGGGGTGTAAAGTGCATTTTGTTCTTCTTGATGATGATAGAAATTAATTTGTTTTGTTTAGTCTTTTGAACGAGGACGTTCAACTCTTAAGTGTGGGGGTATTTGATAAGTCGTTTTTGGGTTAGTTTTTTTTATTCAATTTTAGGCATTTTTAATATTTTTAGTGTTTAATTTTTAGTTGTTTAGCTTAGTTTTATTTTAATTCTCATTTTTACAATCTTTTAATTTTCTTTCAAAAATAGTAGTTTTTTTAATCATTTTTTTACATTATATTATTTCATTTTATTTTTCCCTAACCCAAAATTATCAGATATCTTATTTTTTGGAGAAAAATATAGCAGAAGGCCAAAAATGTAGTTCAAGTTTGGAAAGAAGATATTGATTTTGGCTAGAGCCCAAACCCATCATCAAATAAAGAAGTCCAGGCCTTGTCCTCTTAAGATTTACGCAAGAAAGGAAAAAAAATGGAGAATTGAAGTCTACGACTTCTTCTTCCTCTTCGCGATAAACTAGCGCGGATGCTCCAATGTTCTTCCGTTTGATTCGCAACAATCAATTCTCAACGGGAAGAAATTAAAGGCTCCTTGCTCCTACTATCCTATAAATTGAAGGCAAAT